AATCTGCTTGGGTGTGAGTGTGGCCGAGCCTGGAGCAGGCTGCCCAGAGAGGCTGTGGAGTCTCCTGCTCTGGAGAGATTCCAAACCCCCCTGGATGTGATCCTGGGCAACCAGGGTGGGTGACCTGCTGACGCAGGGGGGCTGGATGAGATGATCTCCAAAGGTCTCTTCCACCCCTACCATGTTGGGGTTCAAGTTGACATCCATGTTCCATACCCAGCTCTGAGATAAGTGAGGTGACGTAATTTTGTTCAGTTTCCCCACCAAGAGTTGTGGAGCCATCACATGGTTTGCCTTGGAAGGGACCTTCCAGCATGGTCAGAGCCCACCAGGAGTAGGTGTCAGCTTCTTACTCACTCCCCGAGCTCAAGTCCCAGAGCAGCAGCTGGTACAGAAAGGAGACCATGGGGTGGGAAGTGCTGCTGTGGGATTTTGGGAGTTCTTTGCTGTCCTGGGTTCTCTGCTCAGCTCCTGCCAGGGAAACCTGACCGTAGCCACGCAGCAAGTGTCTTGAAGATGTTTCTGAAGCCCTTCAGGGCGCTGCTCACCTGGCAGCTCCTACAGAGACCAGGAGTGCGACCTCTTGGCAGGAGGCTCAGAGCTGGGAGAGCTGGAGAGCAGCGAGGGGTGGAACTGGAACTGGCTCGGCCAGGAATAGCAGCAGAAGGGGCTGGAGCTGGGCTTACAACGCAGGAGATACCCATTTCCAGTTCCTCTGGCCATCTCCAGAAGAACCAGTTCCTTCTCTAGGGCACACTGAGAGGTTCTCGTGGTGCCCCCAGGCCTGCAGCACAGCTTTACACCTCCAGTCCAGCTGGGATGGCTGCTGGGGCCTCGCTGCATGGATGTGGGAGCTGTGGGGGGTGGAGGTGATCCCTGGGCAGCTCCTGTGGCATCACTGTTGGGGTTACCAGTCCCTGCTGTCCCTGCTGACCTCCCCCTGCCTTGTCCCTGCAGGCTCACTTCAGGCGAGATGAGTTCCTGGGGAGGATCAATGAGATTGTCTACTTCCTCCCCTTCTGCCACTCGGAGCTCATCCAGCTCGTCAACAAGGAGCTGAATTTTTGGGCCAAGAAGGTAAGAACCATCCCTGGCTTTAGAGGTAACTTCTCAAGAGGGAAATCCCTGCCCAAGCCTTCATCCTCCTGATGTGGAGGTGGGGTGAGCATCTTCACCACCCTCTTCCATGCTGCTCAACATTAGGGGACCTTGCTTGGGAGGGTTGGGACTTCCTGGGATGGTGGGGGGTTGGTTCCTCCTGGGTCAGGCCACGTTCAGAGACATAATTTGTGCAGTTGGACTTTGCACATGGCAGCTCTCCAGGGGGGCTAACTAGGGATTGGGGGACCACTCGCTTTGGTTGGTCTGGCTTGGTGGAGCTCTTGGTGCCCTTTCCTCCTCACCTCCACCCCCATGCTGCCCATGGTGTCCCCACTGCTCACGGAGTGGTGTGCTCGGAGACATCACCAACTCTTCCTCCTCTTCCTCACCCGGCAGGCCAAGGCAAGGCACAACATCACCCTGCTCTGGGACAGGGAGGTCATGGACGTGTTGGCTGATGGCTACAACTTGCACTATGGTGCCCGGTCTATCAAACATGAGGTAGAACCATAGAATCATGGACTGGTTTGGGTGGGAAGGGACTTTTCAGGGTCATCCAGTCCAACCCCCCTGCAGGGAGCAGGGACATCTGCAACTAGAGCAGGTTGCTCAGAGCCCCGGCCAACCTCCCCTGGAATGGTTCCAGGGATGGGGCAGCCACCACCTCTCGGGGCAGCCTGGGACAGGAGCTCACCACCCTCATAGAGAAGAACTTCTTCCTTGTGGGGTAAAGCCAAGTGCAGAGCAAGGATGAAGTCCCCAGTGTCACCTCCACCCCTGCTCTGCCCAGGGAGGCTGTTATCTCTGGGTCTGTCCCACAGAAGAGGATCCTCATGGAGATGTTCATGGTCTGGAGGGGGGAACACCACAGCCAGCACACTCCAGAGACAGGGAATAAGTGGGATGAGCAGGAGATGCCAAGAGGAGATCTGGGATCTCTGGAGGGTGGGGATGAAGACCTGCCCAGCTCCCCAGGAGGGTTTTTCCTGATAGAATCTGGGTTGTTGTCTTCAGGTGGAGCGTCGCGTCGTGAACCAGCTGGCAGCCGCCTACGAGCAGGACCTGCTGCCCAGGGGCTGCACCTTGAGGGTCACAGTGGAGGACTCAGACAAGCAGCTGCTGAAGACCCAGGATGGTGCTTCCAGCAGTGCAGAGAAGGCCAGGACACCGACGCTGCGGCTGGAGATCGTGGAGAAGGGCAGCAAGTCCCGAAAGCTGGACATCCAGGCACCCCTGAACCCCGAGAACATTTCCTACCTCTTGTAGGCAGCGAGGAGCTGCTGCGGGCAGCACTGGGAACAGCAGACCACCTTGGGCTCCACAGGTGCCACGTGGCAAGAGCAGCAAGGGGGGAAGGGGCAACAGTGAGCTCCTACTGCCCCAGAGCCGGGCACGGGATGGGCAGGAGCTGCTTAGCCCCGCCAGGGTGGGCACAGGGGGCTCCAGAGCTGGAGCTGTGGGTGGTGAGGTGGCCGCTGCTGCCTGGGGGGCTGGAGGTGAAGGGTCCTGGGGCTTCGCTTGTGCAGGAGAAGGTGTCAGAGGTTCTAAGGGCAGCATTCAGACCAGGAGCTGGGGTGAGGGTTGTCATCCCCTGCCAAGGAAGCTCCCAAGGGTTTGCTGGGTGGGACCACGGCTGGATAAGGGGTGGGATGGGTGCTGTGTGTGACAGCTTGGGCTGAAAGGCCACCAGCAGCCCTGGCTCTGAATTTTGCCCCTTTCTCTTTATTTATTGCAATAAACGCGGCGTGCACATAAAAACTTCTGTGTCTTGGGCAGGGGAGGATGGGTAGAATTGTGGAATCATGGAGTTAGGGAACTATGGAATCATTCTGGTTGGAGGAGACCTTTGAGACCATGGAGTCCAACCGTTCCCCCAGCACAGCCAGGTCCCCACTGACCCATGTCCCTCAGCACCACAGCTCCATGGCTTGGAAACCCCTCCAGGGATGGGGACTCCACCACTGCCCTGGGCAGCCTGGCACAGCCCTGGACAACCCTCAAGGGCAACAAATTGTTCCTCAGGGACAACCCCAGCCTCCCCTGGGGCAACTTGAGGCCTTTCCTCTTGTCCTGTCCTCCTGGAGCAAACCCCCCAAGGCAAACCTCCACTCCCTGACACTACATTTTTCATCAAAGCTCATTTTAAAGGGGAAATAAATAAAATCTGACGTCACCCACCAGCCAGAGAAGTTCATTTTATTTTATTGATTTTTAGTTTGGATTAGAGTCACAACTGCAGAAGATTTCCCGCAGCTTTGGGTGGAATCGATCCCACTTCGGGACCAGAGCATGGATCCGGGCGTCTCTGCTGTAACCACAAACAAGTTTCCAGCCCAAAATGGGTACCAGCATCTTAATTTTTTCATAAAAAATAAAAAGTTCTGTGCTATGTCAGAATGAACCAGAAATTCCAGTTTTTGGTGTAAGAGTGACACTTTTCCACAAAAACTGACCATTTGGCTGGAACAAATCTCTGAAATTTAATGGGTTTTGAAGCTTCCTTCCTGAGGCTCTTTTGGTTTAACACACCCCATGGATTGGACTCAAGGAAATGACTGAACTCAATGGGTTGAGAGGGTCTACAGAGTGACCTGTCCAGGCTGGATGGATGGGCCGAGGGCAACAGGATGAGGATCAACCAGGCCAAGGGCCGGGTCCTGCCCTTGGGTCACAACCACCCCCTGCAGCACTCCAGGCTGGGGCAGAGGGGCTGGAAAGTGCCCCAGGGAAAGGACCTGGGGGGTTGGTGGACAGGCAGCTGGAGAGGAGGCAGCGGGTGCCCAGGGGGCCCAGAAGGCCACACGGATCCTGGCTTGGGCCAGCACCA